TGATACCAGCCGGAACTACGAATTACATGTGCAAACAATGTTGAGTTCATAAAATTAGGCTTGGATGCCTAATAAAAAAGCTATATGTTCTTGAAAATTTGTTACGATGTGTGCGTGAGATATCGATATGGTAGTAAATATGAACACATTACTACACACTACTACATCAATATCGCACGCATACATACTCACAAATCGTCGATAAAACAGCGAATTTTTGGAGTTTGATCTCGGGTTTAGGATCCCCTTAAGAGCTTGTTGGCGATTGCGGGGGTCGATGGGCCGCATACCGATAGTTCGATGCTTTTGCGCGTTGTATTCAGACATGAGACGCGGTAGCAAATCGATCCATCTATAGATTCCATTGTGTGTAAACTGCTTCTACATGCTGTTTTTCAACGTACGGTTGAACCGCTCGACGACTGATGCCTTCATTACGGAATATGTAGAATATTGATGTTATGTTTCTTTAAGAGATTCTGCACGTTAACGTTATAAAATTCCTTTCCCTTGTCGGTCTGTAAATTTTTCGGGCATCTTCCAGTAGTAGCTAATAAGGGCGGGTTCTAACTAGGAAGCTCCGAGGGGGGGTGAGGGGCAGGGGGGTCCGCGGGGGAAGCCGCGGGAAGGGGGAAACCGCTCAGAACGTTTACGGTCTGATGCGGGGTCCGCGGGGAGGGGAAGCCGCGGAAAGCCGCTCGATCAGCTGGCCTGACCGCGGGGACGGGGAACCGCGTTCTTGGTCCGGGATGCGCGGGGAAGAGGGAACCGCGTTCTAGGTTCGGGATGCGCGGGGACGGGGAAACCGCTCAGAACGTTCACGGTCTGATGCGGGATCCGCGGGAGGGGAAGCCGCGGAAAGCCGCTCGATCAGCTGGCCTGACCGCGGGACGGGGAACCGCGTCGTAGATGCGGAATGCGCGGGGAAGAGGGAACCGCGTTGTGGGTGCGGGATGCGCGGGGAAGAGGGAACCGCGTCGTAGATGCGGGGATGCGCGGAGAAGAGGGATACCGCGTTGAGGATGCGGGTATCGCGGGGAAAAGGGAACCGCGCTCGCGCTCGCCGCGTTCGCCGCCGCCGCCGCCGCCGCCGTCGCCGTTGCACACGGGCCCCACCCCACCCGTTATCGCTCGCGGACTCACCCGTTACCGCTCGCGTTCGCAAAGAGGAAAGAAAAAGAAAAAAGAATAATTTTATGAAAGTAATATAAAACATGTTTATTTTAAAATTTAATTAATGTAAAAAAATATTTGGTAAATTTATTCAATCGTGAGGCAAATCCGCCTACCCGTTGCCATCTGCAACAGACAAAAAGAGCCAAAGAATTAAAAATTGTAGAAAATAAGAAAGAAAGGAAGATAGCTATGTAAAAAAATACTTATCCTAGTTGTAAAAGGCGACATCCTTGTATCTGTGGCCACGTCCACAATCACGCGCAGCGGCGCTTCCTCCCGTGGGCTCGTCGGCGCCTGCGGGCTTCTCGCGCCACTGCCCT